AATCTCGTGTTTTTCAACATATGAAAGAATTTACTGATGCTTTTCAATGTCCTCCTTCAACAACAAAAAATAAAATTTCAAAGAATGTTAAATGTGATTTTAAAACATGTCCAAAAGATTATGAATATTTAAAAGAATTTTTACCATATACAGTTGATAAATGTTAATTTGTTTTTTAGTTTTTTAATGGTTCTGACAGTGAACATACTATTTTTATAGTCTTGCAATTACAGTTTGATAACAAATTACACTTAAACTAAATCATTTGATATTATTTAATTGCAATCAGTTTGTTAAAAATTAAAAGTTGTTTGATTATTTAGTTGCATGCGATCAAACAGTTGCATGCAAAACTTGTATTTGGATGTCTGTTAGAGCCCTAAGGTGTATATTATGTATCTTATTTCAATTTTGTATAACTAAAATTGTATTACATACATATTAATAAATAATTACTATATAACAAACATAAAAACATGTTGCTTTTTGTTTTAATATTTTCAGATCACAAATTATGATAGTATATAAATGAGCCGATGATTATAGGATGTTGTGTGCCGTTAATACTAACTTTATAGTTATTTTGATTTTAGTGTTTTAGTAAGGATGGTTTTCTATGAATATATTTTTTATTTTTCCGCAAAACTTAATCCAAAAAATTTTTGTGTCGTTGATTATACTAATAAACTCTAACCTTTGCTTGTTCTAAGCCACTTCCATTTCCTTTCTTATCAAATGATGATGATTTTCCTAGGCAGTCGAGGTAGCCACATTTTGTGCGTCTAAATTATGATTATTTTGGATCTTTCGTGCAACATTAATTTGCATAATAATTGATGTTTTTGATCAGGAGAGAATTTCTATTTTTTTTCCATATGTATTACATAATTTCTCAGTTTCTTTTAATTTATTAAAGATTACACCCATAATTTATGTTCTTATACCTATAAGACTTCAAATGAGCTTCAGTTTGTATACACAATGTTGAGCATGAACAACGTTATTTATGAATTATTTTTTAAATATTCATATGAATGATGCAATGGGGTTCAATGTGGTAAATATTATAGCTATTGATTTCTGAACGTCTTATAGGTCAGTGTATTCTAATAAACCAAGTATAGGTACTATTGAATTTCGATTTTAACTTGACATTTTTTTTGTTCTACGTTAATGTCATACAATAATATTAATGATATTCCAAGTACCTTTTAATAAATTAAAAAGAGGAAGCAAAAAAAAAAATGAATTTATGGAAAATTTTTTTTGGAAAATTGTTCAGTAAAAACATAAATTTTAAAAATATATTTTGAATTCTACAATGAATTTTATATATACATACACATATATGTACGCTAATTAACACATTATATAAGAAAGTATATTAAAAACTTTTTAGTACTTAAGAAATTTGATAATTTATTTTTGTTGTTTCTTTTTTTCCCCTCTCTCTCTCTCTCTCTCTATAAACATAATTCTTATTTACATTTTTGTTCAAAATATATGTACGTTTGTACATACATATACATATACAATAATGAATGCCTTATTTCCAAAACACAAGTCACTCACTCTTTATATTTTTTTTTCTGTATACTTTTTATTTTCATCAATTTAAAAATAAAACAAGTAAAAACGTTTCAGTCGGTATGAACCGATTGAATTATACCCTGCACCTTTCATTGTTGTATAGCAATTACTCAAACCTGTGAAACAATTCTATAGAAACTTCACGGATATGTCTGATCTATAATTGGACACACAACTGCCAAGTTTCATGAATCTAACTTTATTACTTTTCCAAATATTCAAAATAAGCTTTTGGACTTCTATGGGAGCCACTCGAACCTGTCAAGCAATTCCACCAAAACTTCAGAAATATCTTTGACCTATAATTGGACACACAACTGCCAAGTTTCATGAATCTGTCTTTATTATTTTTCCAATTATTTAAAATTAGCTTTTGGAGTTGTATGACAGGTACCCGAACCTGTCAAGCAATTCCACTAAAACTTCGCAAGTATATCTGATCTATAATTGGACACACAACTGCCAAGTTTCATGAATCTAACTTTTTTATTTTTTCAAATATTTAAAGTAAGCTTTTGGACTTGTATGGGAGCTACTCGAACCTGTCAAGCAATTCCACCAAAACTTCAGAAATATCTTTGACCTATAATTGGACACACAACTGCCAAGTTTCATGAATCTGACTTTATTATTTTTCCAAATATTTAAAATAAGCTTTTGGACTTGTATGGGAGCCACTCGAACCTGTCAAGCAATTCCACCAAAACTTCAGAAATATCTTTGACCTATAATTGGACACACGGCTGCCAAGTTTCATGAATCTGACTTTATTATTTTGCCGAATATAAAATTTTTGCTTTTAGAGTTGTATGGCAGCCACCCGAACCGATGCAGCTATCTCATTAAAATTTTTAGAGCATGTGTAGAATATAATTGGACACATGTATACAAAATTTTATATTTGTACCTTTATTAGTTTTTGAAATAATTAAAATAAACTCTTTGAGTTGTATGGCAGCTACCCGAACCCGCTGTCCGAACTGGTCCAATAACAATAGGGTTCGTCCTTGGCACAAAAGAAGCAACTTGTGAAAGTTTGGTGTCGATTGCATTATTCGTTTTTGAGTTATCGTGCGATCGGACGGACGGACGGACGGACGGACGGACGGACGGACGGACGGACGGACGGACGGACATGTCTAAATCAACGCAGAATTTTACGCTGAGCAAGAATATATATATATGTCCATACCGCAGATGACTCCTTCAAGTAGTTACAAACTCCATACCAAAGTTAATATACCCTTCACGAAGTGCAGGGTATAAAAAAAGCCTGAAGAACATTTCAATTTGAAATACATTAAAATTAATTAAAACAAACTTTTAATATTGTATATACATACATACATATATATGTATATACTCCTATAAATATTCGTTCAGATGAAATTGTAACCTTCGACTTAACTCCTACCTTTTCTTTTACCTATGCCCACATTTATTATTGTACACAAATAAATGTATACATACAAAAATAATACAGTTAGATACAATAATAATATGTATACAGGTACCTTATATTAATAATAACCACAAAATCCTCCGCAAAATGAAACTTTTTAAATACACAGCGTTCAAATTTATATGCAAACAAAAAAAATTGAACTGAGAAAAAAAATGAATATTAAAATATTTTAAATTTAACATTACTTTTTTCTTTAAATTTTTTAATTTTTATGTCAGCGATCCTTGCGTATACAGGAAACAAAGGGATATGATCAAATTTCTACAATAATATTGTGGAATTTTGAACAACAAATGGGTTTATTCGTATAACATCCTCTAACATGAATTTCATCGAATGAACAAATATATAAACGTCATTTTAAAAATTGCTAGTGTACACAGTAAACACTATACGAAGACGAATTAAATTAATATTATTATTTTTGTCATTTGTGTTTCAAAGGATCAAACGAAGAAATTTTTCAAAGTTAGTGTTATTTTATTTGAAATGGTGTTGTATAAGGTCTTGCCTTTTTTTATCCTTTTGAAATCAGCTCTTTAGTATTGAAAGAACTTATACATAAAAATTAAATATTTTATCTGATACAAAATTATTAAATCTCTTAAGTATGTTTAAGTGTTTCCTCAAGAACGGAACAAATTTTTTCGCTATTATAAACGAAAATTAATCATTTTGATATTTTCATAAAAAATATTAAATTTATTAATTATTGATTTTCATAAATTCTGCTTCTATGAATGTAACATATATTTTTTTCAATAAGAATTTAATCAAAAAAATCTTGTATTAGACCTCCTGCAGTTAAAACTTATTTCCGGAAAAATTTTTTCAAAAGTTCTAATTTGAAGGACAGCTATAACTATCATATACTACTCACAACTGTTTAAATTTAATATTTTTATTCATAAAAATAAAGATGAAACTCTTAAGTGTTTAAGTGTTTCCTCAAGAACGGAACAAATTTTTTCGCTATTATAAACGAAAATTAATCATTTTGATATTTTCATAAAAAATATTAAATTTATTAATTATTGATTTTCATAAATTCTGCTTCTATGAATGTAACATATATTTTTTTCAATAAGAATTTAATCAAAAAAATCTTGTATTAGACCTCCTGCAGTTAAAACTTATTTCCGGAAAAATTTTTTCAAAAGTTCTAATTTGAAGGACAGCTATAACTATCATATACTACTCACAACTGTTTAAATTTAATATTTTTATTCATAAAAATAAAGATGAAACTCTTCTTATTTTACAAAATTCATATAAAATTTTTTAATTGGACAAAACTTACATACTATATTAAAATATATTATTATAGTATACAAAACCTCTCCACATTTTTATTTGACTAGCCTGTTATCCATCACAATATTAGGAAGCTACAGTTTTTCCCACGTTACCAAAAAAAATTAAATAATTTGCATGTTACAGTTGTTTGTACATTTTCAAAAAAATTTGGAAAAAGTGCTGACCAAATCTTTCAACCTGTGCGTGCGTTTGCTGTCCAATAGTCTGTTCCTCTATTTACAGCTCTATTTACAGCTTGACAACTACAATAATATGTGTAAACTTAAGATTTAAATAAATAAGCTGCTATTAAAGGGATTAAAGCCCTAGACCTAGGAAGATTACTTCCATCTTCTTCTTCTTCTGCGTATCCACTTACTGGATGTTTGCGACTACATTTCTATATGCCTCCCTGTCTTGCGCAACACGTACCAGCTCTTCTACTGTTCGTATGCCAGTCCATTGTCTGATGTTTCTGAGCCAAGACATCTGCTTTCTTCCCACACGCCTTCTTCCCTCAATTTTGCCTTGCAAAATCAGCTGCAGTATGAAATATTTGTTATTTAGAAATGTTGTTTTTCTGTGTTTTATTGTTAGTAATAATTCTCGGTCATTATTTACTCTTCTTAAGACCTCTTCATTTGTAACTCTATCTATCCATGGGATCTTTAACATCTTGCGGTATATCCACATCTCGAAGGCTTCTAGCTTGTTCATTGTTGATATTTTTAGTGTCCAAGCTTCCATTCCATAGAGGAGAATTGACCACACGTAGCATTTTACAAATCGAATACGGTTGTGGAGATGTATATCCCGATTGCAAAATATATTTTGGTACTTTATAAAAGAGCTGCGCGCGTATTCAATTCGGCATTTTATTTCCATATCTGAATTCCAGTCTTCGTTTAACCAACATCCCAGATACTTAAAACTTGAAACTCTTTCGATATTTTGGCCATTCACGGTTAAAACTAGATTATTAAATGTGTTGGTTCTGGATATAACCATGAATTTGGTTTTAGAAATATTCATATTTAAACCGAAAAGCATACTGTGGTCATTTACTGAGTTTAAAAGTTGTTGTAGTTCAGTAATATTGCCGGCAATCAAGGTGGTATCGTCTGCATAACGTATATTGTTAATATTTACTCCATTTACTTTTATACCAACATCTACGCTATCAGCTACTTCTTCGAATATCTTTTCAGAGTATAGGTTAAAAAGTAAAGGGGATAATATGCAACCTTGCCTCACTCCTCTTTTTATTTCTATCTCATCCGTGGTCTTATCTCTATCTCTCGTAACAACTTGAGCTTTTTGGTTCCAGTATAAGTTTTTGATACACCGAATCTCTTTTTCATCCAGATCTATTTTATTCAAAACCTCCATTAATTTGTCGTATTGCACGCAGTCGAAAGCTTTTTCGTAGTCAATGAGGCATATAAAAATGTCTCGATGAACATCGCGGCAGTTCTGAATTAATATTTGGAGACCAAGAAGCGCTTCTCTCGTACCGAGACCTTCCCTGAAGCCAAATTGTGTGTTACTGATGCTGCTTTTACATTTTTTTGTAGATACGGGAATGAATAATTTAAAAAAAAATTTTTAAAGCGTGGCTCATTAAGCTTATAAGTCGATATTCACTACATTTTTTCGAGTTTGATTTTTTAGGTAAGGTAACGAATGCCGAACTTAGCCATTCCTTTGGATATATTCCGCTATCATAAATTTTGTTAAAAATGTTTTTCAAAATTTCTAAGTTTTCGTCATCTATTAGCTTAAAAATTTCTGCGGGTAGCTCATCGGGTCCAGGAGCTTTATTATTTTTTGACAACTTAATTGCTCTTTTTATTTCCTCTGGTGTTATTGAAGGACCTGTGGGTTCAGTTTCCGAAGTTCTTAGAGCATCGGTTCTACTAATATCATTGAATACTTCTTCTATGTATTCCTTCCAGACTTGTTTTTTCTGTTCTTGATCTAGGACTATATTATTATTGTTGTCAACTAGATTAGAAAATGTCTGTTTGCGGTATACTCCAGCGGTTTCTTTAATTTTCTTGTGAAGATTAAACATATCGTGACGTTTTGAAAAGCCTCAATTTCTTGACATTGAGAGTTCAACCATTGTGACTTTGCAGATCTAATTTTTGAGCGAATTACTGTTTGCAGGCGCTTATATTGACTATAGTCCTTATTTTTGTGCATTCGTCTCTGTTTCATTAAATTTAAGATCTCGCTTGTCATCCATTTCTGTTTTGCTCTGCTGTTCGTGGGGCCCAGTTTGGTTGAAGCTATATTTTTCATAGTACTTTTCAATCGATCCCATACTTCATCAATTTCCACATTATTAAAGCTGGTACCTTCGAAATTTAATTTCATTTGATTATTAAGCTCCTGAGTAACTTCGGTTTTACATTCATCTTCCTTGAGTTTCTGTAGGTCTAAATGTTTTTTGCGTGTTGATTTTGTCATTACTGCCAATTTTATGTTGATTTGCGATAACAGTAAATTATGGTCTGAAGGAACATCGGCACCTGGATACGTTGAAACTTTTGATACGCATGTACTATATCGCTGGTTAATTAATATAAAGTCGATCTGGTTCCGGATTATATTTCGATCGTTATCTTCAGGTGATTTCCATGTGTAAAGTCGACGAGGTGGTAAACAAAACCAAGTGTTCATTATTTTGAGCTCCTGTTCCGTACAGAACTGAATTAGTCTATCACCTCTTGGGTTTCTGGTACCTAAACCAAATGGTCCAACAATTTTTTCTACTTGCGACTTTCCTATTTTGGCATTAAAATCCCCCATAATGATGTTAATCTCGTGTTTTTTGGTCATTTTCATGAGCTCCTTGACTTCATTGTAGAATGATTCAACGTCTTCGTCAGTTTTATCAGCAGTTGGTGCATATGTTTGAATGATGTTTATATTCAAAGGCTTTGCGTGTATTTGAAGCAATAAAGTTCTATCTGAATATGGCAAAAAGTTTTTTACGCATTTTTCGACGGCCTCTGAGACGATTATTCCAACCTCATTTCTATGGTTTCTACTTTGGTCCCCGGAATAATACATTGTTGCACCGTTTGTTTTACATTTGCCAGAATCAGGCCACCATGTTTCACAAACACCTAATATATCGATGTGAAGCCTCTTCATTTCTTGTATGGTATTTGCTAGTTTACCGCTTTCATAAATGCTACGAACATTCCAAGTACCTATTTTTAGTTTGCGTTGAGTTTTACCTCCGGGGATTCTTAGCACCCTCGTTGTGCCGGAGACTGAGGGCCTTGTTTCTGTTTGTACTTCCATGTATGTAGTTTTCTTGGGATAAGATACTTTAGTAGTTTCCAGTGGCTTTCTAAAGGGTTTTGCAGTTTTCCTTCTGTCATAGTAGCTGCCGCCCCTCAGGGGTCAGACGCAGACCAGGGAGCCGCCCATTCTGGGTCAGACGCTTCTGGATTTCTAGCAGTTGCTTCGAAAAAAGGAGAACCATACGAAGGAGTCTAGATAGCTATGCTATCAGGCCTTGCGCACTTCTATCTTACATCTATTATTTAATGAACCACATAAATTCGGGGATAAATCTAATGTGCATCATATTGCGTTTAAATTGAAATATACATGTACAAATTCAAAAAGGAAATGGGAAGTGGATTAATTAGACATTTAACTTTCATACAAAAAGCCCTTTGTGTAAGGGTATATATACTGTATGTAACTCTATTTGTGTACACTTCTAAAAATATATGTGTGTATATTATAAGCCTCTGAATCTAGTGAGTTTTTTCCAAAGATCTTGTTAAAGTTTTATACAAAAAAAAATACAAGTACGCATACATACAAATTCAAAATATTTGAATTTAATGTATATAAACACATATATGGATTGCCACATACACATTATGTAGGAGCGAATACATATAAAACATTTTTACAATTTAATTTTCATTTTATTCTGGAAATACTCTTAATATGTATCTCTATACATAATATGCAGTATGTTGACATATATATATCTATATCCATATTATATACGTATAATATTAATGAGTGCATGTTGGCTGTGTTTCAATGCTGATAATGGCAATGATAATTATACTAAAGACAAAAATTGTTATTCAAATATAAATTGTTATGATATGTAACGCAAAACTTGTAACTTTCTATATGTACATATTTGGTTAAATATATGCCAATAATAACAGCGGTTATAAAGCGATGTATAAAACGAATTTGTAGTAAATTCTGGCTCTTGTTTATGGGCTTTGGCTTTGACCTTCCGTCGGGCCCTTTTCGCATATCAACCCTAACATGCGCCGTAAAAAAACATTTTTTTTGCTCGCAACTCAAACTTCTTCAGTTTCTCCTCAGCTTCTTGAATCCTCTTAAATCCTGTTTATCCCATCTCCATTGAAGTCGTTCTAGTTTTTTCCATTGATGTGAGAAGAAGTTCTTCCTTTGCGTCGATAGAAATGACCTCTCTAGTTCCGAGTACCTTGGAGCATACATCATTATAATTCGGGTGTTTTCCTTGACTCCATTTTTTATTACATTTTTTTTTAACATTATGTTGCAACAGACATAGATAAATCAACTTAGAATTCGACATTGATCAAAAGCTTAAGTCTGCATATTATATCTTAGAATTTTATATCTCAGTGTTACAAACATAGTGTCTATTTATATTCTTTCGTCCGCACTGGTATAAAAAATATGACGACTACTTTGATATGTTGATATAGGGCTAAGGTTATCCAAAATATGCCATAAATACTATCTTACGATTACTCTTTACATATGAACTGTTAGAGCTATTCTTCATTTTATTTAAAATAAAATAAATCGCATAATACAAGATACAATTGTGTGTACATATGTATATTATGTAATATATTATTTTAGATAATAAAATACAGGTTTAAAAACAACCTCTGTAAGCGGAACATGCAGTTATATACACATTAGATTGTTAGGACAAAAAAAAAATAAGAGAGAAAAACTGTTTAGAATTTTGATTGAGTAATCTTTGAATTACTTTCAGACATTATTATCCTATAAAATGTGGATTTTTTTCCATCAATAATGTTTTTTCATCGTACAGCCTCCTCGTTTTTTTTTATTTCTTCTTATTTATTTTATTATTTTTTTTTATATAACTTACCTATACAGTAAATTTTCTCTTTGTTCTGTTGTTATTCTGGCGTTGATTTTCTTCCGGAAAATTTGTTGTAGAAAAAATTACAAATAATTCTAAAGAAAATAATATTATACGAGTATAAAATGAAAGGCATATACAGAAGTTTCAAGATAAAAAATAGAAGGTAAACATATAGAGAAATAATAAGCAATAAAAGAAAGAAAAAAAAGGATAAATAATCTAGAAATAAGAGGAAAAATATTACGAAGGAAGAAATAAATAAAGTAAGTTTCTTTTAAAAAAATATATATTTATATAAATGTATGGCAAAAAAAATAGACGAGTATTAAAAAAATAAAAAACGCAAATTCTATACAACTGAATACAATAGCAAGCATATAAGGAATAACATAATGTATTAGGCATAATTTTTCAATATTATCTCCATTTTGCCTGTGTTTAAATAAATCAATATATAAAAAATTTTAGATTACAGAAAAACTCTGTTTTTTTCCTATAAAATTCATGATTTTTTGACTTTTAATTATTTTGAATCCAGTGAATATAAATAATATGAAAGATTAACATAGAACAGTGAATAAGCTCCTTTAAAATAAAAGCAATTTTTCCCGAATTTGGAATATTTTCTATAGGAAGACTGACACAAATTGTCTCCTTCAAAGCTCAATTGTCAAATATCAACTACAATGAAAGTTTACAAATGAAAAAATCAGTCTGGAGTCGACCGATTACAAACGATTACACCAGTATCTACTTACATACAAAAATGATTTTATATATAAATAAATTAATAGAAAATTCTTTCTTTAAGAGAAAAAAATATTTAATTTTGCATCCATTATAAATGTAAGTTCTACCCTAAATTTCGAAGTATAAAATTTATAATAAAAGTAAAACACTATCCTGTTAAATACTAAATGGTGCATTGCTTTCAATTTTTCTTCAAGAGTTTTTAGTTTTAAAAATAACAGTTAACAAAATGGAAGATCAAGAATGAGTGTGGATATTTATTCCAAAAATCTTGGGAATAGCTAATTAATTATTAATTATCAATAGCAAACTATTACCATTGATTTTATTTATTCCTTTTGTATACAAACACCACAACAAAAATGATTTTAGTTAACACACTTTTAAAAGTAATATTGATGATTCCCTTTAAAAATTTAATTGCAGAATTCTTTTTAATAATTTCACGGTTAACTCTTACATTTTTTTAATTTCTAAATACGATTTTATTAAGAATTCTATTTAGTACCACTGTGTATATATAATACAGTTTATAGTGATGCACTAGGGGGTAACAAGTTCTTAGCTCACTAGGAACTAGTGAGTATTAAGTTTTTTAATTTAAAATAAAATAGTTCTATAATAACAAAAATTGTCTTCTGCATATCAGTATAAACTTTTAAACAGAGTGAGTGATAGTATTTATTTTCTCATTGTATTTGAAAATTTTAGACATTATGTTTTATGTGTTTAAATTTTGCATTAAAAGTAATTCCATATATTCATCATTCAATATTGAATTTCTTGTCAAACTATATTATTCTTTTTAAAGACCGCAATTATTTACTTACAATAAGGTCTGTTATATTATGGTGCCAACAAATCATTTGCACATCGAATATCCATTAATTGGTAAAATTAACTGGTGAAATTTTCAGGGAATTTGAGTGGAACAAACTGATATTCTTCAAAGAGTCAAATATACATTTTCCTAAATATGTTAACTAAAAGCTTACTGGCTTCTTTAACATTGTAAAGAAGTGTTTTAAACGAATTTTCATAATCTTCTGTATCACTTTTACTACGGTTATGTGCTGACCACATCAGATTTTTTTTTTAATGATTTCACTAAAATCTATTTCAAAAAATTAAAGTAATTTCAAGGTGTTTCTATATAAAAATAAGAAAAACAAAACAAGAATATGTAGAACTCGTTAAAATTTTTTATTTGCATGTAAATTTAGAATTGGCCTTACATTACGTACCTATATACATAAAATAAAGTTTTCATAAAAGTTTTCTTATTATATAAAATTCATGTACCAAACTATGTAAGTAATTAACATGCATATATGCATGTAGGTGTGTATATGAATTTATTATATTTTCTGATACATACATATATATTTGAACATCGAATATATTATTGTAATTATGTAAATGTAATATTATCAACCTAAAATCACTCATCCGTTATTTTGGTGTACATTTAAATAAATTACCGTAAATCAACCAAATTACATTTCCACATCAAAAAACACCTTTTTAAGTTTCATATATACAAGCAATATAATATTATATAATAATAACGTATATGTATAACACATATATAACTTTGTGTTTATGTGTACATATATTTACTTATATTATTTTACATGCATATATGTTTATTTAATATGCCCATATAAAATGAAGGTCATCATCGCGTCTATCATATTTAAAATCTAATCATTATTCGTTATATATATATATATATATATATATATATATATATATATATGTAAATATATATGTTAGTGTTTGCATATAGTTTGTTTTACATAATTCTGTAAATTTTCTAATTTTTACCTACAAGATATAAAATATGATTTTATAAGAGAATTAGTTTTTATTGAAGGCAACAAACCACTAAAAAAAAAATTAAATTAATATCTGTAGGTACATTGTACAAGTTTAACTGTAAAAAAATTTTTTGTTATACATGACCTTTTAAAGGGAGGCACTGGGTTAATTAACAAGAATTTGGGGTGCATAGGACAAACACTATTTTTTTTTTATTATCATTTTATTTTGTAACCCCAATTTATCATCAAACACAAAAATATTATGTATGTGCATAAATGTATATTGGAATTATTCTTTGTACTGCATCTAATTGAAATTGAACCCCTAACTCTCTTCTATTAAAAAATTTTCAAATAAAAATTGAAAAATTTTTTCATGCCCATAAAAAATGATGTTAAAATTTTTAGTTTTTTTTTTACACCATATCTTTCCGTTACCAAAATAACCAATCATGTTTCCTTTAAAGCTCCGACCCAATTATCAAAATTGTAATTTAAAAACTAGTCTATCTTTATTTTTCAAATCAAATACACACGTATAATAATATGTATATATAATATTCTATTTGTATTATATA